TTTTTACAAAAAGATTTTGTATTTTGAAAATATGGAGTTCTTGGTTTGAAATTAAACAAGACACATCTAACCATTAATTTTTTGGTTTTAGGATGAAAGATTAGTTTTAAACAATTTTTTATGTTTTTAATGCTTTTTATAAAAAAAAAAAGACGGAAGTGATAAGCTAGACTTTCTAGTCTCTCTTTTGCCAGATATTTAAGGATTACTACTAATCTTTAAAGATTAGCAGTAAAGAACTACAATTTTGTGAAAAACATTGAAGAGTACAATAACCTATTCCTTCACTATTGGATATCAATTGGCAATCAAGTCATTTTAAAATGAAATACTTTTAGACATGATTAAGACAAATTTAAATTTGAACAGATAGGAGATCCTTTGTCCTCATGTAATGGTTAACAAACTAATCAGGTAGACTACCGTGATGGTAATGAGCTGTATCCTCATGAAGCACTTCATACTTTTGCCAAATTAAGCTTGGCCTACTTTGTGGCCAAAATATTTATGCACCAGATGCTTGGGTTCAAGTCCAAGAGTGTGAAAGCTGATTTTCTCACAGCAATACCCATTTGAAAGATTGCAGCAACACAATCTTCTTGCACACATTTTGCCTTGTGACATGATCCCCTAAGCTTAACAGATCTCAAGAAATAGAATTTATTTTAAATTTACACAAGCAACAGATGAAATATGAAGTACATGCAGACATTTGCAACATTTTTTAAAACCTGGAAACTGAGTACACAGTTGAAAACCAGTTTTACACATATTTAATACATTGGTTGCTTTGTCAAATTTACTATTAATGGCTCATTACCTGGTGTAGGGCAATGATTTGTTTTTTGTTTTTAATCAATTCATGCCAAGCAAGGCAATAATGGCACTAAGATGCATGCAAGAGGCTACTGGGAGTGAAAGACAATGAAAAAGACTTTAGAAGAAACCAGAAACCCATTCCTAAACAAGTAACAAGGGATAAACCTCCAGTAAATTATATTGAATTCAATCTTCAGTGTCTTACTATTGTGGCATTTATTTATTGGTCATTTGATTTGTCTTTTTTTTTTTTTTTTTTTTTTTTATTTATTTACAAGGAAAATTACCAAGAAAGAACAATATTATTTTTGCATTTTGATATTTGGAAGAAAAAATTGATGGGAAGGACTTGTATCTCCTTTGTGTGTGTGTGTGTGTGTGTGTGTGTGTGCGCGCGTGTTATCACAGAAATTTTTTTTTCTTTCTTTGTTGCAAATTCCTCATGGGTCATTGTAAATTTCAGTATATAAGGGAGATAAATTTTTATTTTTAGAAATTTATATTAAAATATCCTATTTGAAAATACAAGAAAAGTTTAAATTTACTTTTAGCAATCTCACTGATCTTTTAAAATACAAAAAACTTAATATTTAAGATATTAGAACCTTTTATTACTTATCTCTCAAGTAAAATGTCTTAATTTTTATTTTAGCTTCACTACAATGAAGTATGAAAAATCCTTTTTTGTCCAAAAAAAAAAAAAAAAAAATAATGGTGAAAAAGTCTAAAAAGGAAAAAAAATATTACTTTATACTAGACATTTTTAGTTTTGAATGTTAAAGAAACCTTTTAAATAAGATTAAACTGAGAAGAAACTTGACATTTATAGACATGCTAAAATCTGCATTCTTTAACCTGTCATAAAAGTTATGAAATTTTCCTTGAAAGCTAAAAAGGAGTTGATATTGGACTGGACTAAAAAACAACATTTCTACATTAAAGTCTTGAAGATCAAATTCTTTCAAACACTTATTTAAAATATTTTCCATTAGTTTCAAATTGAACACCACCAAAATAAAACAAAAAAAATTATTTGCTACTTGAATTAAATAAAGCTGAACAGATATCATCAATAACTTTTCAATTATGATTAAAAAAAATAAAATTATGGAATAGTCATGACTTCGGAAGATTTTGCACTGGGCCTTTGAAGTTTGGAGATGAGGGGGGGTCGTATTTTGAAGTTGTAACAGCAATAAAGGTAGAAAAATGCAATAAATATTTTGATAGCCAATTAAGAGAAAAAGCTAATAAATTTCATAACATATACCTACATTTAACAGCTTTAGAGATAAGCAAAAGAAATCTGGACACACAGCAACCAATTCAAAACAGTGAAAAAACGTTTTTTGTCAATGATCTTAATTCTGGTCAATTTCAAAAAAGGGTAAACAGAGAAATGACTTGTAAAATAAAAAAATTACAGGGTTTTGTTTAAGTTTTCCTAATTTGTTCATGAATACATTTTACCTGAAGACACTTTAAGAAACACTTCAAATGGACATTTCAAACTTGCCACCAAAGGTGCTATAAATGTTCTCAAAAAGGATAAAACTCTGGAGATATGTGAAGAACAAAATATTGAATTTCCTTTGAAGAATTTTACAATCTAAAAAAAAAAAATAAAAACACATGACAAACATGTAGAATCTTTTCCATTATTTTGATTCCTTAATAAACATAATGTCCATTTAGAGATTCAAGAAGTTAGTTCCCTCAACAGAAGAAATTCTCTTTATGTAAACCGTTTATGAAACTTTTTTTTTTAACAGTTACACTTATAGAATCAGGATTTAATATTGAGTATATCATCTTAATTCATGATAACTAACAATAATGAAACAGTCTATAATTTTAAGAAGAGCCATTATCATTCCAAATTGAGTGTTTCTGAGACAAATGAATTCATTATTCACTTCACAAAGAAAGAAAGAATTGAGCCTGTTGTCATATTACACAATATTTATTGTTTGTCATCTTTGCTTTGTTGAAAAAAGAAAAAAAAAAAGAAGACATACCCCATTCTTTGATTAAGGATTTTACACTAGAAGGCTAGAGAATAGATCAGCCAAAAAAATGTAGCAGCAAAACATCAATGCAGAGAAGGTGTTCAATTGTGGAAACAATTCTAGGAATGATAATGAACATATCTTAATTATTTCAATTTAAAAATGTTGCTTCAGGAATAACATAAGAAAATCTTATGATTACTGATAGCAGTAATTTCATAAAATTGAAAATAAAAAATAAGAAATTATAGACCAGAGTTAAACAAATGCTTTTAATTTTTATATCAACATTTTTGTGTAATTTTGTTTTGAAAATTATCAAAGATTAAAATTCCAAGCCAAATTGTCAAGTACAAAAAATGATAAACAAATTTCTAAATAATTTTAAATTGAAATAACCAACCAAGATTCACAAATATACCCACCCCTGTACAAATAAATAGACACCAATTTTTGACTTTTGATAAAAAAAATATTTTTACTTAAAACTTGACAGGACCACTATCTTCAAGGTTGGTTGTAAATGAACAAATTGTTATATGAAAATTACTTATGTTAAAATAGATGCTATGCAAACTTTTTCTATAATGCATATGAAAGGCAAATCTATTAAGAAAAAAAAGTGTGGTTGGATACCAATAAATCATTTTTAAGTGTTTTCTACTCAAATCAAAATCTATAGCAGAGATTTGTTTAAAATATTTTTAAGAGATAATAATAAAAAAAACTATTGCCCATTGTTCAATGGTTATGATGCTGAAATGAAGCAGTGGTGTGCATTTGTTTTGTTGTGCCAGTCAACATCGGTCAATTCATACCAGCCATTCATTTATCATGTAACAAAATAAAAAGAAATATTTCAAAATATGGCGTTGTTTTCTTTGGTACTGAAATACAATTAAGAATCAGGTTTTAAAACTTAATTATTGTGAATCATAGCAAAAAAGAAAGCCTATTATTGAAATGGACACACTCACAATCAATAAAATGTATGTGATTATGAAAATTGAGTTATTAAAAAACTTTATACACTGATTCATTTGGAATAGCTTTCTTATTTTATTTGTATTTCAATGGCTCAATACCAAAACTTTGTGACAAAGATGATAAAGAATCAGTGTAAGAACAGAAATTCAAAAATTCAATTTTAGTCAGGAACTTTTATGAAGTGATTTGATAAATATATTTTGTTATTAATTATCACATTTTTGGTGTCTTTTCTCAATTCCGGCAAATAAAACCAAGAAGATTCAAAATGTCAATTCATAAAAGAAATGGGCTGAGGAAAATTTCACAGATGGTTATTTTCATTTTTGTAACAAAAACGAAGTTAAAAAAGAAAAGAAAATGGGATCATGAAACACTTTATATTGTTTCTACTCACTCCTAATTGTAGACTTTGGCTTAAAAAAAATGAATCTTAGCAATCTACGCAATTCTTTACTACAAAATTCAAATATTGCTTTTATTAATAATCAAATATATAAAACTAAAAAAATGATTATTACCTTAAAAAAATGACTTATATAGCAACTATTAGATTTCAAATATCAAGTTTTATTTGTAATTTTTTTCTCATCTTAAGTAGGAAAAAAATTAAGCATGAAACTAAAAAATATCACTCTTTGCATCAATAGGTAATGAAAATAAATAACAAACAGCAAAGGTTATAAAAATAATTTTTTTCTGTAGATTTCTTTTTCATCCCAAATGTACAAGTTAAAAAGAAAATTACAAAATACGCATGGGAGCGGGGTCGGAAAGAAATGGCAGGTGAAAAAAAAAAAAAAAATCTATGTTAAAGTGAGATCTGACATCAGGGAAATAATTAAGTGTGATCAGATTGTAAGAATGCAAAGTGAAATTGGCATTGAGTTATCAGAAATCCAGCTCTTTTGCATTATTAACCAACCAGAAGCAAGTATCAGATTTTCATAATCAATAATAAAAAAAAAGAAAAAAAAAAAAAACCACCAGTAGATTAGGGTGTGAAAAAGAAAGCAATTTAGAAGCAGATTTAATCTTTCAACCTAAAGTCATGAAAATTTTAAATGTGGCCCCCGCTTGACAATATTTTTACTTGGGTACTTCCAAAACAACGTTATTTCCATTGTACTATTATTGAAAGAATTTTGTAATTTTTTTTCATCTTTTAAATGGTGGAAGTTAGTGCTACATAATAGGTTTATCAATCACAGCCACACCAGCATAACTACGGCCAGTCATCATACAAGATGGCAGAAGTGTCCACTTGTTACTTTTTACATCATAGCATTCAACTGAACCAAGATTTGAAGAGCCATCATCTCCTCCAATCACATAAAGAAGTCCATCATTAGTTACCACTCCTAAAAAGTAAAAATGAAAGAATTTTATCAATGAAAGTCTTTTGTAAGAATTTGGTCAGTACTGCTGGAGAAAGAATATATTGTTGATAATTGTAGGAATGAGGTTTATTATGAGAATTCAGATTTTTTTTTTTTTTGTTTTTCTTCCATCTTCTTCCAGAAAGCTGAAACTGATTTTGGTTAGTCTACATAGTTACATCAATAAGTTTATTTAGAAAAAAAAAAAGAAAAAAAAAAGGATTTATTTTATAGAAATATTTCCTTACAATCTCATTTTTTATCAATGAACTTGATTTGGTGAATATTAATCACAAAGAACAAACTTATACAGAGAAAATTTCATATAAAAAACTCAGCTAATAACCATGCATCAAACTACAGACTTATTGTCTGTCTATATTTCTGAGATTAGGTATTGTAACTATTTACACTATTTACATCATTTGGATTGTTGTTCTCACTTTTATTGTTATATTCACAACGCTTTAGACATTGTATGCTCCAGACTTCATGTGATATATGTTGGAATTTCAAACTGATTCCTTTATTTAGTCCACAGGGTAATTCCACATGCCATGCATTTTTGGGATATCCCAATTTCAGTTATCTCCCCTTAGTAATTCAACTCTCCAAGTTTTTGTTCACCTCTGCTCTGGCCAGGGATTGAACACACAACTCTTTGGATCAAGTCACTTTTTGGATTAGTCATATGTTTAGATATGCTTAGTCAAACATTAAGAAGGAAAAGAAGGATTGTTAATCCTCTCCACACCTCCACTGATCTACCTCACTAAGTTTTCTTAGGAACAAGCAATGGGACAGGGTAGTCAAGAGAATGAACAAGAAAAAGAAATTAAATTAAAATCAGATGAAAATATGCAATCCACACATATCAAGGGCTGATAGAAATACAAAATTAAAATAACTAGCAAAATTACCCAGTGATATTGAAATTCAAAATTATTTCTTTTAATATTAATTTTTTTTTGTTTAAATGTAAATACTGATTGAAATTCTGAGAAGAGTCATTATTGATCAAATTGTTTATTAAATAATACATTAATTATTAAACAGAGAAACTTTTTTAATATTTCATTATCTTAACAGAACATCATAAAAAAAATTCTTGGAGTTTTTATCCATTATTTTCCACAATGAAAGCACATTCATTTTTTTTTTTAATACTTTTTCAGTAAAGTGACAAAAATGTTTATATTTTATCCTAATATCACTATTACTAAAATACATAAATATGTAATATCTCACTAAAACTCTATAAAATTGTGTTGATCTTTTGGCCATGAATATACACTAATGTGTATTAAAAAGTGAACCTCAATTGGTTTCAGTTGTGTTTTTCAATGTTTAATAAAATGTTTCAAAAAGAAAGAATTGCCTTATATTGAAATTGAGGATGTCTACTATAAAATGTAATGAAAGTCATTTGTAAAACATAAAACTCAAGAAAAAAAAGAGAGCAATCTTATAGCTGAAATTGTGGTTTTCAAGCAGAGTTAAGTAACAACCATTTTAAATATCTAATGAACTTTTAGCGTTCCACTTCAGTTTTAAAATTCTTCTCAACAAATTATTGGTTAAAAAATAATGCAATGCAGTTACTACATGCCTTCTTAAAAAAGTGAAAATTTTGTGGAAATTTGGATCACACAAACCTTGCTATTTTTCTAGTTGCTGATTGGCTGAATAACAATAAATATGAAAGATGCCTACACAATCAGGTTTTGCTGCCAATATATTTGAACAGCAGGCTGGAGCCTGTCATGTGACAGACAACCAAAAAAAATAAGGAGCACGACGAATGTATCCCTTCAGTGTAACAAAAGAAAAGTCAACCAGACACTTCATTGCCATGCAAAAGAAATTTAACTTTGATATTACAGTTCTTCCCAATTCTTCACCAGCAAAAAATTACTTAAAAGAAAAGGTTTTTTCCTGAAGGTACAAGTTTACCAAACATATTTTCAGCTCTTCAGGACATAATTCAAGAAACATTCTCACTCAGTTCTATTTAACAAAATTTGCTCTTTGGTGAACACTTTCTTTTAGCAGCAAGATTTATTGTAATTATTTTTAGAAGTACAAAAACTAAATTTTATTTAGTTTCAAACAGAAACTTCTTGAAACAAACACATCCTCGCAATATTCATATTACACGAAACATTTAACTAATTCACAGAGAACATTTTTTCTTCTTCTAAAAAAAAAAAAAAAAAAAAAAAATCTTTTATGAGACCTGATAAAAAATTTCTTTATTTCAAAGAACAATTTTTAAATAATTAATTTCCTAGTTAAGAGTAAGCAACTCTTATTTTTGCACTGTAAAATTTCTCTACCAAAAGACACTGTTTTGAAGGAATATTTTAAATAATTTTTATTTGTTCAATTAACATTACTGAACTTTGAAATTCAGCTTAGCTCAGCTAAATATTCTCAGCAGTTTATTCTTAATAATTGTATTATTCCTATATAAATATTTTGTTATTGTTTTACATATCTTGTCATCTTTTGGTTGCCTTGTTAGCCTTGTGCCATACATCAAAAATTAAATGCTTGTGGAGGAGTGAAGTTTTACACATGCAGCTGACCTTATGTAACTAAAAAACTTTCTAATCACTTTTCAAACTTATTTCACCTTCTCTGCAACAAACTAAAGTGATGATTTATATAATTTGGTTTGGAAATGTTATTTAATAAGTCTTCAGAAAGTTTAGTTTGTTTCTTTCCACATATTTTCAAAGCTTATGAAATAAAATAAAAATGGCCAAATTTCAGTGGAAATTCTATAGTTTCTTCTATGTGCTGTGTCTTTTCAGGACATGGACGATCATAGCTCTCTAGGCTCTTAGTAAGGTTTGACTTTTTGCTATCTCTCCTAATCCCTATTCTGCCAATCATTTACACAAGGTCGTTAAATAGGTTATTCACTGCCTTCCTCTCTCTTGCTTTCAATATGTCCTGTAAATGAAAAATTCTTCAAGTCCTCTTTCCTCATTATGTGTCCTAGAAATTTCATCTTTGTTTCTATTATCCCTAAAACTTCCTTGTTACTCAAATTTTCAGTCTATTGAATTTTTGGCATCCTTCAAGAACCACACTTCTGTTGCCTCATGTCCCTTTTTCATCTGTGAGGAAATTGTCCAGCATTCAATACCATATAGGAGGATCAATACTACATAACAGTTTAGAACTATTTCTTTTTTCTTTGTTTCTAATGAAATTTTCCTGTTTCTTAATACTCTGTTTAGCTTTTTGAAGGTATCTTTTGTTATTCCAATGTGCCTTCATATTTTTATATTGAATTGGACAGGAATTCTATTGTAATATTGTCTGCCTTGAAGGTTGCATATATCCCACAATACCAAAGGTTAGTGTTCAAACCCAGATAGCAATCAAGTTTTTCTTATTTGGAAGTTTAGCAAAGCCTGATCTTCCTACCCATATTTGCTAATGCATGAAAGTCATCATAACACACACACATATCTTGATTCATGTGGAGTATTTTTGCTTAGAACCAAGTTTCTATCGAGTGATATGTATATAATTCCATCTATGGTTTCTGCTATCATCTCTAAACTAAATCCCCTCAATGTATGTGGTACCCCTGCAATAGTCCTTAAATGTGCTCCTGAACTGGCTGCTGTTCTACTATAAATGCCTTGCTGCTTCTTGATTTCCTGCTTATTGTATATTCTCTTTTGTAGTTCCAGTTAAGAACTCAGGCAAACCATTCAATCCCTCTATAGGGCTATTATTAGCCTTCTACCTCTTTTTGGTAAAGTACTAGAGGCTCTAATTAACTCTGAATGGGTTAAATATTTCATTTTGCAGGCTCTTCTTTCAGATAAGCAATATGGTTTTCATTTCTCTATGTCAACTGTTGATGCATTAATTATTAATTGATTATTGCTGACAGAGTCTATCAAGCTTTAGATAACAATAGTGAAGCTTGGGCTGTTGCTTTGGATAACTGGAAGTTATTAGACAGGATCTGGCATACAGGTCTTCTTGAAAGGTTATGATATTTCTGGATGAACTAATTCAGTCTTATCCAAATGTGAAATGAAAGTTGTCTTGAATGGTCACTCTTTTTACTTTTTGCATAAATGCGGGGATTCCCCATGACTATCTTTGGGCATATAGTGTTTCTAATTTTCATAAATGACTTTCTTGGTGTCATCAGTTCTCATCTTGGTATGTATGCTAATGACAAAACTATTTACTCCTGTCTTAATAGAGTTTGATCAGTTTGATATGTTCAAATTGGCAGATGATCTCAAAAATGATCCACAATCTGTTGTTAACTGGGGCAAGTAATTGTTTGTTAATTTTAATACTTCAAAAATGAAACTGCTCATTTTTAATCATCTGAGAGAACCCTTTTTACCTTCCATCAGCATATGGCTGATGCTAACCTCCAGGAAAGTGACTCATTGCATCTTCTCAGATTAATGTTTTCAGCTAACATGAATCAATCATTAGGTCTGCTGCTAGGAATGTTGGTTCACTATGTCATGCTAGGCAATTTTTCTTGCCAGAATCTATCTTACATATAAGCCTACCATTCATCCTTGCTTTGAATATTGTGGCCACATCTAGTGTGGTGCTCCTGCTATATATTTAGAGATTCCTGATAAAATCCAAAGAAGAATCTGGAATGTTATTGGACTTGACCTGACATCTCAGCTTTAGTCCCTTTCCCACTGTCATAATGTAGGTTCCATGTGCCTTTGCTATAAATACTTTGATGATAACTATTCTGATGAACTTTCCACTATGATACCTAGACTTTATGAATTTAATCACAGTACTAGAAAAGTAGGTACCTCCACTTGGTCACATACAAAACAACATAGCATGATGAAAAAAGGCCTCAAACTCAATAAAAACAAAGTTTTGTCATCAAAATGTTTAAGAGGAAAAACCAAATTATGTTTTATTATTTTTTGAAATTTTTTTACTCCTTTGTAGCACATTGTAAA